TCCCAAACCCATCCCAAACCCATCCCAAACCCATCCCAAATCCATCCCAACTGAACCCCAAACCCATCCTGGCTCCAACCCCATTTCCCTCCCAATCCAGCCCTGTGCCCCCCTTGGTGCCCCAACTTTGGCACGTTTTGGGGTTCCCCTTGCCCCCAGCATCCCCTGGCTGTTCTGGGGCCCACAGAGATTTTGGGGTTCCTCTGGAGATTTTGGGGTGCCTCTGGAGACTTTGGGGTGCCTCTGGAGACTTTGGGGTGCCTCTGGAGACTTTGGGGTGCCTCTGGAGACTTTGGGGTGCCTCTGGAGACTTTGGGGTGCCTCTGGAGACTTTGGGGTGCCTCTGGAGACTTTGGGGTGCCTCTGGAGACTTTGGGGTGCCTCTGGAGACTTTGGGGTGCCTCTGGAGACTTTGGGGTGCCTCTGGAGACTTTGGGGTGCCTCTGGAGACTTTGGGGTGCCTCTGGGGTCCCCATTCTGCTGCAGGCCCCGGTGCTGAGGTGCTGCCTGACCTGCAACCTCCAGCTCATTTTGGGGCTCCCCACTCCCTGCACGGCCCCTGCCTTCCCCAGGATGTTTTGGGGTCCCCCGTGTGTTTTGGGGTCCCCGGTACCTCATGCTGTAGGCGCCGGCGCCGAGCTCCTGCCCGATCCCCGACAGGCTGGCGTCGAAATCCTGCACCAGCCCCGACTCGATCACCTCATCGGCCAGCGGCAGCTTCAGCGCCCACGCCATGGCCCCGAGGGCACCCCAAAACCAGCCGTGGGTCACCCCCAAAAACCGGGGGTCTTTCAGGGTCACCCCCAAGAAAAGGGGGTTGTCGTGCTCACTCCAAAAATGGGGGGGCCGGGGGCTGCTCAAAATGGGGGTGTCTTGGGGCCACGCCGAAAGCGGGGGGCTGGAACACTCCCAAACACGGGGGTCTTTGAGGCCACCCCAAAAAGGGGTTTGCAGTGGTACCCCCCAAAACCAGGGGGCTTCGGGGGCACCTCAAGCGTGAGGGGGCCTTGGGGTCACCCCAACACAGGGTGTTCAGTGTCACTCCAAAACCTCCCCGTTTCCTGGGGGTACCAAAGCCCCCCCAGACCTCTTGCGGACCCTCTCCTGCGGTGACTAATTTGGGGAGCCCCAAAACCCACTACCACAGGGGAACGAACCCCAAAACCCTGCGACACCCCGAGGCTGCACCCCTGCCCTTGGAGCACCTCAAAGGGAACAGCTCGGGGTGACCCCAAAACCCGAGAGGCGGCACCTCCGGGGGTCCTGAGTACTGCGGACCTGCTGCTGCACCCACAGGGACCCCCAAATCCTCCCCTCGGGGGGCTGCACCCACCGGGACCCCCAAATCCTCCCCTCTGGGGGCTGCACCCACACGGACCCCCAAATCCTCCCCTCGGGGGGCTGCACCCACAGGGACCCCCAAATCCTCCCCTCGGGGGGCTGCACCCACAGGGACCCCCAAATCCTACACCGCCCTGGCCGCTCGGTCCGGGCTGGTACTCCCCAGTCGTGGCTGGGACCCCCCAGTCCGGGCTGGTACGCCCCAATCTAGGCCGGGACGCCCCAATCCAGGCCGGAGCCCCCCAGTGCGGGCCGGGACCCCCTGATCTGAGCCGGCCCGTCCCGCTCCGGGCCCGGCCCCCCCCGCTCCGGCCCGGGACCCCCAAACGCGCCGCTCCGCCAAGATGGAGGCGGCGGCCCCGCCCCAGCCGCTGGGGGCGTGGCCCCGCCCCTCTGCCGCGCTCAGCCAATGGAACCGCGTCTTGTCGCGTGAAGGGCGGCCACAGTAACCAATAGAAAGCTCCGCTCCGGGCAGGCCGCTCGGGGATTGGCTGGGGGGTGTGGCCGCGGCGGCGTGCGGCTCTCGGCTCCGTGCGGCGCCTCCGGGGGACCGCGGGTTCGAGTCCCGCTCCTGCCTCAGGCGTGCGCGGAGCTGCGCCCGCCTCAGCCGGGGGTACCGAGGAGGCGGAAAAACCCCCCGTCCCCCACAAACCTTGAAAAAATGGGAAAGGAAAAGAAAAAAGAAAAATACTGTTTATTTCACACCACTACATCAAGTGCATCAGTCTGCCGCGGCCCCAGCGGGCCCCCCGTGCCCCCCAAAGCTCCCTCTCCCATCGCTCCCGGGGGGGCTGGAGCCCCCCAGGCTCAGGGCAGGGGGGGTGGGGAAGGGGCACTGCCTCTGTTTTGGGGTTCACGCCCCCCAAACCCGGGGGTGATGTCCCCAAAATCCACCCACGGGATGTCCCCAAGCTGGGGGATCACCCCCAGAAGCCCCTCACGAAGTGGGGGACCCGCAAAACCAGCGTGGGGGTGACATAAATTTGGGGTCACCCCGGTGAGCTGTAACATCACCTCAGAAACACAGGAAAAAGGGCAAAACCCAGAAAAATGAAAATCACTGTTTTTGGGTGGGTGTGTGACACTGGGGGGGGGTCGGGTCTGTCACCACGTGTGTCACAGCCGGGGGAGGTGTGACATCAACACGCTCGGATCGTGTGTGACCAGGAGGGAACGGGGGACACAGACAGGCACAGGTGGGCACAGGTGCAGGCACGGGGGCAGAGGGACAAAATCCGTGGCCAAAGGGACAAAGTCAATGGCCAAAGTGCTGATGGCAGGTGGTTGTGGGGGTCTGTGACTGGGATGGGAACTGGGATGTTCCCAGCGCTCCCAGTTCACAGTGTGTGGAAGACACTGAGTGTTGGACACAGGCACAGGTGAGGTGGACACAGGCACAGGTGAGGTGGACACAGGTGTGGTGTGTGCAGGGAACCAGGTGGCAGAGGGACAGAACCAGTGGCCAAAGTGCTGATGGCTGGAGGTTGGGGGGACACGGGGGAGCTCCCAGCACTCCCAGTTTAGGGCACTGGGAGATGCCGACGGTGGACACAGGTGCGAGCGCGGCGGTGGAGGGACAGAACCAGCGGCCAAAGCGCAGGTGGCAGGAGGCCGGGCTGGCACGGGGCGTTCCGTGGCTCAGGGCACGTGGAAGACGTTCAGCTTGCTGGTGTTCTTGAGGGTCTGGCGGCGGTTGCAGAACCAGACGCGCACGACCTCGCGCTCGTAGCGCAGCTCCTGCGCGATGCGCGTGATCTCGGCGCCCGTGGGCAGCGCGTTGCGCTCGAAGTGCGCGTTCAGGGCCTCCAGCGCCTGCGGCGTGAAGGACGTGCGGCGTTTGCGCTTCTTGCCCGGCTCGCCCCCCACAAACTCCAGCAGGTGCTGCTGCCCCTCGCGCTGCCGCTGCTCCGCCTCCCGCAGCCACTTCTCCAGCACCGGCTTCAGCTTCTGCGCGCTCTTGGGCGTGATGTCCAGCTTCTCGAACCTGCGGGGACGTGGGGACACTCAGGGGACACTCAGGGGACACTCCAGGATGTCCTGGAGGTGATGTCCAGCTTCTCAAACCTGAGGGGATGTGGGGGACACGGAAGACCCCCAAGGATGGGGGACAGGGGCACGGCAGGCTGGGACTGGGGGTGTGACAGTGAGGAGGCAGCAATTCCCAACATCCTCCTTTGCCCCATTTTCTTCCTTTTCTCAGTTTCCTCTTTTGCCCCCTTTTCCTCTTTTCCCATTTTTCTTTTTCTCCAGCTCCCCCTTCCTCCACCTCTCCTCCCTTTCCCCAACTTTCCCCCATTTTCCTCCTTTTCTCCACTTCCCTGCCATTTTGCTTTTTCTTGTTTCCCACAATTTTCCTCCTCCTCTCCAAGTTCCTTCCTTTCCTCCCGTTTTCCTCCTGCTCTCCAATTCTCCCTTCCCTCAATTTTCCATCTTTTCCACTTGTTCCCCTTTCCTGCTCCTGTACCCGCCCCTGGGCCTGCCCCATACCCAGCCCTGTCACCGTAGTGTCCCCTTACTGCAGGTGGCCCTGTCCTGTCCCTGCAGGTGACAGGTGTTTGCCTGCAGGTGGCCCTGTCCCCACAGGTGCCGTTACCTGCAGATGTCCCCCCAGGTGTCCCCACAGGTGCCATTACCTGCAGATGGCAGACTGGCTGTAGGCAGGGCCCTCGGTGGCCGTCAGGGCCTGCCCCACCTGGGTCTGGGTCAGCCCCAGCGAGAGGCGCCGCAGTTTGAAGTTCTTGGCGAATTCCCGGATTTCTTCCAGGTTGATCCCGTCCTCCTCCGTGCTGGGTGGGGCAGGGGGCTCTGGGGGGCACGGGGGGCTGTGAGCCCTGTTATCCCTGTGCCCGGGGAGCCTGCTGTTCCCAGGGAACCCCAGCCCCAGAAATCCCTCTCCCAGCGATCCCAGACCTTGTTATCCCTCTTTCCAGGGGAGCCCAGACCCTGTTACCCCTTTTCCCAAGGACCCCAGACACAGCGTTCCCTCTTCCCAGTGGTTCCCTGGAACTCTTAATCCCAGAAGACCTCATGCCCCGTTATCCCTCTTCCCACTTCCCATTATTCCTCTGCCCAGGGATTCTTGACCCCCATTATCCCTTTTCCCACAGTCCCTCTTATCTCTCTTCCCAGAGATGCCATACTTTGTTTTTTCTCTTCTCAGGGATCCCTAACTCTGATCTCTCTCTTCCCAACATTTCCCAGATCCCATTATTACCAGGGGACCCCGGTCCCTGTTATCCCTCTTTCCAGGGGTCCCAGACCCCCATTATCCCTCTTCCCAGTGGATCCCAGTTCCTGCTATCCCTCTTCCCAGTGGATCCCAGACCCCACTATTCCCATGGAGCCCACAGCCCCTTGTCCCTCTCGCAGCCCCCGTAATCCCCTCCCAGTGCTCCCAGTGACTCACTGGACACCAGCTGGCTCACGGTGGGGGTCTCGGAGCACGTGATGGGCACCGGGGACGGTGACACCTTGCCCACGGGCGTGGGGCTCATCCCCACCCCGGCCGGGGCCGGCTGGATGGGCTGGACCTGGGGGGGATCTGGGGGTGACCTGGGGGGGACAGGCAGCTCCCCCCCATGGGGCACATCCCACGGAGAGAGCTGGTGGCAGCAGGAGGGGGACGGGGTGACCATGGGACAGCGCTGGGGCAGGAGGGGGCATGGCCTGGGGGTACTCCTGGAGTCCCAAAGCCACGTGGCCAGGACCCAAAGGTGCTCCTGTGTCCCCACAGCCACACAGCTGGTCTGCAAGGTGCTCATGGGCTCCTAAATCCACCTGCCTGGGTCCCAAAGCCACGTGGCCAAAGCCCAGAGATGCTCACGGGTTCCCAAAGCCACACAACCAGGACCCAGGAGTGCCCCCCAAAACAAAACGGGGCTCATATCTCCCCAAAACAACACAGCCAGGTCCCAGCAATGGTCACGGTGTCCCAAAGCCACCTGGCCACGTCCCAAAGGTGCTTCTGTCTCCCCCAAGGTTGTGTGGCCAGGTCCCAAAGGCACATGGGGGTCCCAAAGGCACATGGAGGGTCCCAAAGGCACATGGAGGGTCCCAAAGGCACATGGAGGGTCCCAAAGGCACATGGAGGGTCCCAAAGCTGCTCCCCTGCTCCCAAAGTCCCTTGGCTGGGGATGCTGCCACCCCCCAGCCGTGCCCCACCTCAGTGGCAGGGGGAGCCTGGGGGGCTCAGGGGGGCTCAGGGGTGTGGGCTCACCTCGCTCTTGATGGGGGGCTCGGCTGGCCCGTTCTTCTTGCCGGGGGCCGGTGCAGGGGGGGTGGTGGCCAGCGTGGCCCCCGTGGTCAGAGTGGCCCCCGTGGTCAGAGTGGCCCCTGTGGCCAGCGTGGCCCCCGTGGCCAGCGTGGCGATGACCTGGCCCTGCGCGTTGAGCAGCAGCTGCGGTGTCACCGGTGTCACCTGCAGGCTGGGGGGGGCCGGCGCGGGGGCTGCTGCGGCCACCCCGGGGGGGGCCACGACCCACGGCAGGGTCCCGATCACCTGGGGGGGGACACAGCGCTGAGGGACCCCAAGACACCCACCTTGTGGGGGGGGACACAACACTGGGAACAGCCGGGACCCCTTCCCCAGGTGACACAACCCCAGCAGGGCCCCCCCGCGGTACCTGGCCCTGGGTGTTGGTCAGGAGCTGCCCCGGGATCCCCTGCACGCTGGGGAGGGGGTTGGCGATCACAGGGGGGGCACTGAGGGACCCCAGAATCTGTGGCTGCGCCCCCAGAGCCGCCGTGAGCTGTGGGACAGAAATGGGGTCAGAGCTGGGGCAGTGGGGGCCACCGGGACCCCCCCCAGATCGCCCCCCCCACTCCCAGTGGCCACTGGAGTCCCTGGGGGTCCCCATATCCATAAATCCATCCCCTGGGAGCTGCCCAAAGCAGAGCTGCAGCTTGTTGGGATGGGGAAATCGAGGCTGGGACTGTGTTCAGGGAAACTGAGATGGGAATCCTGCCCAGGGAAACTGAGGCTGGGATTGTGTCTGGGGAAACTGAGGCCACAATCTTGTCCAGGGAAACTGAGGCCAGGATCTTGCACGTAAAAACAGGCTGGGATTGTGCACAGGGAAACTGAGGATGGAATGTTGCCTGGGGAAACTGAGGCTGGGATCCCGTACAGGGAAACTGAGGCAGGGATCCCACCTGGGAAACAGACTGGGATCTTGTCCTGAGAAACCATGGCAGGGATCCTCTCCAGGGACACGGAGGTCACAATCTCCCATGTGGAGACTGAGAGTGGGATCCTGCCTGGGGAAACTGAGGCTGGGATACGGCCCTGGAACTCCCGGGGCTCCCCGTGACCGCTGGACCCCGGGATGGGATCAGTCCTTACAATGCCGGGGTTAAAGGCCAGTCCGGTGATCTGGGGCTGGACGGACATCGGGGGCTGGACGGACATCGGGGGGTCCTTTGGGGGGGTGGGCGCCGGGGGGGGCTGGGGCAGCAGCGGGGGCTGTCCCGGGGGCGGCGGGGG